GTTTCTTTCGCCAGTTCTTCTCAGGTCTGAGGCGTCTTCTTTCCGAACTGGTAGTAGACTCATGACGTTCAGTAAAAAATTGTAATAATTTAATGCTGAATAAAATATTTTGATTTTGATAAATTCATATATGTTTTTCTCAAATTTTCAATGATTATGGTCCAATTTTGACCACCGGGCGAATAGGAGGATCCATATTTCTATTCACCGTTAATTAAACTAATATAAACAGTCATCCTGTTAAGAAATTCTCTGTAACAACCCGGAGAGAGAAATTGGAGAGTGACAGGAATAGAGAGTGCACTCGTATTTGGCCCTTACTTGTCCACCATAATATTACCTGCCCCATGGCTAATTTTAGTAAGATTCGCCGATTTGTGCAAAGATGGTCAGGAGGACATGTGAACCATTATTTTTTAGACTAATTTACATAACACTCGATTCAGTAGTTAATATATCATGTAACATATATAATACCTATACAAATAAAATGCAGTCAAATCGTAAATTTTCTTCATTTTCTAAAACGGTAAAAAATATCTTTAGTATATCATAGCATTCACTATGGACAGGTTTTAATATAATTATTTATCTCGTATTTCACAGCATCTTTATCTATGTAATATCTATTGCATTCGAGTTGTTGATTAGATTTATACGTTACTGTTTATCTTGCATATCTATTCTAATATTATATAGAGGAAATATTAGATTTTTTGTTTGTTTGTATCGAATAGGCTCCATAACTACTGAACCGATTTAGATGAAGTTTGGTAAGAAGATAGTTTGAGATCCTAGGAAGGACATAGGATAGTTTCTTATATACTATTCATTCATTAATTTCAACACAAACTTTCAACCCCTATTTATCCCCTTCTACTTAGACCCTTCAAGTTTCCAAAAATTTATTTCTCCAAGGTCCCATCCCTCTCTAGACCAAACTTCATTAAAATTGCCTCAGCGGTTTAGTTTAGAAAATGTAACAGACTGACAGCGTTACTTTCGCAACTGTAGTATATTAGTATGGATTATGTGCATACGATACAAATTAATATATTACGGGAACTATCCCGGGGTACTTATACTAATTTGTTTCATAAAGTTAATTTCCCTCGCTATCTAGTCTCTTGCTAGCAAGAAATAAGAACGTTATAATTCCTTATTAAGTTCTTATTCATCTATATTTAAACCAGGACGAAAGCTTAGCTTTTGTCTCGGTCACTTTTAATAGTAACTATTTGACCGACTTCGAAAAAGGAAGAGGTAAAGCTCAACTCAAGCTTTATTTTCCTTTTTGGGTATTTTACAAATCAAATTAAAATGTACATACCTTCTTTCAAATATACATTAAAACTGTCTTTTAAATATTTTTCTAGTATATTTGATATAAATAAATTTTCACATCGCACAATATACGGCTATAAAGCAGGTCTTACGTGATAATCATCAGAGATGTCACCTATATATAACTTTACAGCCTCCGTATCTTAAATCTTTTGATCTCTAATAAATTTATGATCCGCTCCAAGCTGAGTATAGTGTGATTTAGCAACAGCTTTGTAGGTTGGTAGTAGCTTTTAGTTTATTTGAATTATGAGAAACTAGCGACTCACCCTCGCTTCACTTGGATTCGACCTTGGATGTTTTCATGTTTTGTATGGAATAGATAGACTATATATACAAAGGTAGATGAGTTTTACGAGTATATTCATTGAAAAATGGTTAATTTCCCATACAAACTTCCATCCTCCATTTTACAACATTCAGGGATGATTTCCGGGATAAAAACTATCCTCTCTGTGTGTGTGAATCTGGCTAGTCTCACAATATCGAAATCGATCAGAAGGATATTATTAACTAAAATTCTAAAGTTGAAAGACAAGATTCTTTTCTTTCGTTCTTTTAACGTTTTTGAACTAAAATATTAATAAAGTAATTTCTTTTAACGTTCATGCACAACATCATATATTTGATGAGTTCTTACCTTATGTTTTAACTAGCAGAACCCGCGGCTCCGCTCGCGCTAAATCTACAACAAAACTCTAAAAAACTCTAAAAAGGTAGTTTTATACAAACTTTCATCCCCTATTTTACCCCCTTAAATTCTAAAATACGTGTTTATTTAATTTTATTGAAAAGCATTATTACCAAGTTTCAAGTAATTCTAATCATTTTTTTTGGCTGACTTGGGTAATCTCCCGCGGTAAGCCTATGTCACTCTCCAGCCCTCTATCTCCACACAAAAAAATCACGGGAATCCTTCGATCCGTTTCGACGTGAAAGAAGGACAAACAAACACACTTTCACATTTATAATATTAAGTATGGATATTGAAAATCAAGACGGTTTCTTTTTTTTCTTTCAACTTTCTTGGGCTAATGTCTATTGATAAATTCAGAACAATTAACTCTTAAAATGTTGCAAATGGTTACTTGTTAACTTGTATTCGTTAATAATTGTTGTAATAGCTTTAACAATATAATTTATACATCAATTACAATCACGCTTATTTTTTCTCTTTAAAATCATGGAATAAATTTCTTTCTTTAATGCTTTATAATGAGAATAGTACAATTTTGTTATCTCGATTAGGATATTGTATATCTAGGACTAATGTAAAAGTGGATGGATATATGGTGAGAGGACGAACGAAAAAAATGTGGATTAAATGCAGGAAATACGTATTTAATGTCCTTTTAGATTTGTCTTTCTGTCTATTGAAACTGTATATTAGTGAGTTTTTCGCGGATTTATTTTGATTTTTGGGTCATTGGGGAGTCCACTATAATTGGTGTAACGCATCCTAAACATCGGGAACCTAAAATCAAAATAAAGCTGCACAAAATCAGAGAATATAGACGATGGAGGAAGACGTAGGGAGCTGTGTACAATGTGTATACTACTGCATGGCTGTGAGGGTAATTTATTTAGACATCGAAAATCCCCAATTTTTGCATTTACCTTTTCATCCTTTATTAAGAAACTAGCGACTCAACCTCGCTCCGCTCGGGTTCGTTCCTAGGTACGTATTAATGGTTAGTATAGATTTCTTAGAGATGATATACTTTCCCGCAATCAAAAGTATCCTATATAATATATATTGACCCGGATAACCAGTTATTACCATACGAAATTTCATCATAATCTGTCCAGTGATTTCCTCGTGATGCATTCCCAGACAGACAGACAAAAATTCTAAAAACTATAGATTCAGCCTCTATATCAAGAATAATTACTATTTCAATAAGATTTTCCAAAAAATGTTTAATGTACAGATTCGACTCGGAATTTTATTATATGTATACTCGTAGATTACTTTTAAACAGATGATGAACTTAGTATTAATAATACCTTTTTAGCTAAACATTAATTTTATAATATTTAGATTTGAATTTTCTCATGTGTGAATGCAATCAGTTAGTTACTTACAAATTACAAATTTCCATAGTCTTGTATAGACGCACATTCGAAATCTGTCCTGACCGTTTTGTTAATCTATTGTCTAGCACTCTTACTGGGGTTTTCTGATAATACGAGTATATTCTCAGTTACAGCTCAGGTGGGGGTTTTTTGTAGAAATAAAAACTTTTTAACAAAAAATAAAAACCAACTTCCAGGCACTAAAATGTAAAAAATAACTAAACGGAGGTTTTCATTTAGAATAGATACCTAGTCAGATATTTTCGAAGTCGGTGCCAGCCGATGCAAAGCAAATCTAATATATTTCGATACGTAAAATACATATATACCTATTAGATATTCATATATTAAAATATTGTAGGCTGGCACCGACTTCGAAAATATCTGATTAGGTATCTATTCTGAATGAAAACCTCCGTTTAAGTATGTTTTACATTTTAGTGCCTGGAAGTCGGTTTTCATTTTTTGTTAAAAAGTTTTTATTTTTCCATTTTTAGTATAAACGTAATAAGCAGGTGATTTGTAAAAATAAAGTTTTTTAATAACATATTCGATTAAACAATTTATTTAAAAAATATATTTATTGTTGATTTTTTAAAACCGCTCGACCTATTTCGATAAAATTTATATGGGACCACCTAGGAAGTATATCCTTTGAAAGAAAAAAAATTCCAAATCGGTTCAGGCGTCTTGGAGTAATCGGTGAACATACATAAAAAAAAAAAAAAAAAGGTTCCGACGAATTGATAACTCCTCCTTTTTGGAAGTCGGTTAAAAAGGGCAAACGAGCAAACGATCTACCTGATGGTGAGTGGCTATCGTCGTTCATAGACATCTGCAACATAAGAATGGTGACGGTGACATGGTGACGTTTGCGGTGTTTCACTCAGGTGCCTTAGAAAACACCTAGCTCCGATTTTTTTCTGTACCTAAATCCTAATTAACGAATAAATTCAAATTACCAATGGGCAAGAGTATAATGGAGTAACTAATTTTACAATTGAATGCTTTATAGTGGACACGCGATACGAACGCACGCTACTTCGTTTCCATTCATTCGCTAGGTTTGCGCCAAGGCTGCTTTTTATGATTTACTAGTTTTAGAATGCGGCTTTGCTTCCGTGGTAGATAAAAAATAAATAATAAATATGTTAGGACATTAACACACAGCACCATCTAATTCCATGGTAAGCTACGAGGCCTGTGTTATGGATACCAGATAGTTGATACACTACACATATGCAACTTTTAAATACATACATATTATGAATAAAAACACCCATGACTGAAGTACAAACATTCGTGCTCATCACACAAATGAATGCCCCCAGCGGGACTCGAACCCGCGACCTCTAGCACAGCAAGTAGGGTCACTACACACTGAGCCAAACGTGTCATGTAATGTAATATACTGTAGGGTGTGATTTAATTTAAAGTTTATTTTATTCCTTTTAGAGCATTTAAATAAAAGTTTGTTTTTAAAAATGTATTTTTACAATTATTTCATTTTCTCCTAATTAGTCTCAACAAATGCTATTTTATTAATATGCAAATTTTTATTCAAATATTTTTGTCAACAGGTACAAACTATCCAACATCTTCTAAAGTGATCAAGATAGAAGAATCTACTTCATCGCACCTACATTTCAAGTGAGTACATATGGATTCTCTTGATAACACTTTACATAATGTCATAATTAATTATTTCATACTAGCGCCTCACCCTCGCTTAGCTTCGCGTTCTTCCCTGAACAAAAACAAATCTATCCCACGGGAATTGTACATGTTTCCTTTTTTTTTTTTAACGTTGGGAAATGCATTTTCGCACGACGTGTGGGACTCACCGGCGTAATACAGCCAGTACTACCCACTAAAACCCAACAAAAAACCTTTATGCTATTCCAGACTAATCTATCAATGTGCCAATTTTTTTCTTCATTTCCGTTCCGTTCAGCCGTTTGGCGTGACACAGTAACCAACATCCATCCGTTCGTCCTCACAAACTTTCACATTTATAATATTAATATGTATTCAGCCCTTTTTAACGTCCCACTGCTGGGCACGTTCCTCCCTTCAGTACGAGGGGGTCACATACATACATACATACGAGTATGTACATCTCGCGGCAAGGCTAAAACGTGTATGTCTCCGACTGGATAATACTATATTCCATCGTAAACTGGTTTTCATCTTTGTAGTTAGCTTTTATGCAGTCGGGTTTTTTATTTTTATAATATACTAGCGACCCTCGCTTCGCTCGGGTTGGTCCCTACTTACGTTTTAACGTTTAGTATCGATTTCTCAAAGATGAGATATTTTCTCGCTATAACCAGCTAGCATTATACCAAATTTCATAAAAATCCCTCCAGTGGTTTTTCCGTGATGAGGTAACAGACAGGCAGACAGACAAGAATTCTAAGAACTATAGATTCGGCCTCTGTATCGATAATAATGTCTATTTTAATAAGATTTTCCAAAAAATATTTAATATACAGATTCGACTTAGTTACAATTTTATTATATGTATAGATCCCCAACAAAAAATCCTTAAAAATTTTTCTATATGATCATCATTTTTACTGATCTGACCCAATTTTAAATGATAAATGATGTCAAATGGGTGGAATATCCATTTGAATTAACATAAACTACATAGAACCAATAAAATCTGCTCTAAATATATTCTTTGAAAAGTATTGTAAGATGTTCCATTATTTCAGTCCGAGCCACGAACTACCACGAATAAAAATAGGACCTGACCTTAGAAGCGCGCGAAAACTAAAGAATGTTACCAGGTACTTATAATTACTTATAATACTTATAATTATACACTAATATTATATAAAATTATGCAAAATGAGCTATAATAGCTCGTTTGTAATTACTCGTAGTAATTTATAATTTTAATAACTTTAATTATTATCATAAATATTTAATTTCAGAATAAAACAACCAACTATCCAGCAGACTCCGCAAACCCCACTAGAAATGTCAAATCTTTTCCCGCCATTACCATTCACGATTCCAGCCCAAGTAAAGCCAGTACCACACATGGAAATTAAAAACTTTTTTCTTAATACTGCGTTACATAACGCCTTAACTGACTCACTTACACAGCTAGCGCAGAAAAAGATGAATATAGATAAAAAAGAAACGTCAAACGAGAGTAAATGTCAAGCAAATAATAAAACAGATAAAATGACAGAAGAATGTGTTAATGAATCTAGAAGGAGGCTTCATAAATGCGACGTCGCTGGCTGTCATAAAGTTTATACGAAGAGTTCCCACCTAAAAGCACACAAACGGACACACACAGGTATGTTGAGTAATAAATGATTTTTATGGTACCTATATTATAGTATATGGTACCTCTTCTATAATAGTCTATGGGCTAGCGGCTAAGAGATTGTAAGCATGTAAGACCGCAAATTCTGTCCAAAAAGTCCTGGGTTTGAATCCCAGGTATGGACGGGTCTGGACAGTCTCGCTGCTCGCTTGCTCTCAGTAACAACCCGGAGATGGGAAGATGGTGATGTTTCATACCCGTTGTATTATAAACCCGATGGAGTTTGAGAGAGTGCATATCTACTGAGCATGATTGTGCAATGTAATATCTCCTGCAACAGATGCTAGTATCGATAGGATTGGCCGCCAATGGAAGCTTGAAGGATATTATTTATATTTTTATAAATGTAGATCTATTAAACTTATTGAAGTTATGCTTCTTTTGGCATGTTTGGAAAAATTATATGACTAAAATTTGTACGATGCGCGCGCACATGACAGCCAAAAAGCGACATTTTTTTTAGATATTTTTGTTCTGTTACAACTTCGATCAACAGCACTACTGTTGATCGAAGTGTTTCACTAAAGAAGTATAACTTCTTACGTGCATACATAAGTACACACATCAGTTATTTTTCTTTAATAGTTTCTTTTAAGTTTGAACAAAAAAAAGATAACTATAATATAAATTATATTTATTATTACTTTTTTTCAGGAGAAAAGCCTTACAGCTGTGGCTGGGCGGGTTGTGGATGGAGATTTGCTAGATCAGACGAACTGACACGACACACTCGCAAACATACAGGGCATAGGCCCTTCGCATGCCCCCTCTGCAGGAGGGCCTTTGCTAGGTCCGACCACCTCGGGCTACATATGCGAAGACATTAAGATATGACGGTATTATTTTGGAACTAATATCAGTTTCAGTGTAAAAGAGGCCTAACTCAAAAAAAATTGTAGATGTTGCGTTTTCGTGCTTTTGTTTTAATAATCTTGGTTTTAGAAATTTAGATTAAATTAGAACAATAAATATAGTTTTTATATAAAACTATTGTTACGGTTTATTTTGATTTTTGGTTCGCGATGTTTCAAAAACTCTCACGCGAGAGAATGAAGTATCTTTCAATTTTAAAAGAATACTAAATACGACTAATGGATGTTGTTATTGTTAAAACAATTTGAAATTTACAAAGTGATTTGTTTTTATAATTTAAAAAAAAAAAACAATGACAATATATAGAATTTAACGAAATCAAACCAAGAAAAATTAGAAAAAGTAGTTTTATTTACTAGTGAAATGTCAAATATTTGTGTGAATTTAAGAAAATACTAAAAAATTATAATTGAGTTAGACCACTTTTGTGATGACCAACGATTTTTTCGGGCGTTTTTTTTTCGATAGTAATAATTTTTCATTTCGATTATTATATTTTAATCTATTACGTCCTGAAGCATGAATACGTCCAATTATAGTATTTAGTTTTTATTTGTAAGATATATTATTATGTTAGTGCCTTACGTTAACAAGTTTAAGGCAAACGGTTCGGACATACATTTCCTATATGTACCTGTGAGTGACTGAAAGTCACTACATATTTAATTTGAAGATTGTAGACTGTTTGTAGATTATTTCGACTGTTTTTGCGTTTTATATATCAACTTAAATTGATATAAAAAATAATAATCGAGGTCATATAATATTTATTATTATAAAACAAAGAAAAATGTTAAAAAATAACAAATAACATGTCAGTTATTTAACTGAATTAAGATGACATTTAAAAAAAACCAGTCGAAAATTATACAAAAGTCAAATTAATATAAGATTTCATTTTGTGGCATTATTACACTTAATGGCCAGTATAAAGTATACATTTTTTTTAATTTAAAGCGATATTCTAGACTTAAAGTCACAAAGTAGATGGTTAAGATAGATTTTTTAAGAGGTTTTCAAATAAATTGAATAAATAAATGTGACGTTTTTCTGTCTATATATTTAATCAAGTTTTTTGAAATCTACTATAGCTAAGTTATGCTCAAAAAGTTCCATAAAAACAGGGCTGTTATGGCAATATTAGATATAAATAAAAATAATAATATTATTAAAAAAAAAACAACTATTTTTTATATGATTTAGTATTAAGTTATTTCTCGATAAATCATTATTATGATGGAATAAACAGTTGATTTTGATCGTGATGACCGAATTATACTAAGGAAGAATAGATCATTCAGACAATTTGAACTTTCCACTGTTGGGGGTGGGCCTCCTATCAAGGCGAGGGGATCAGGCCATAGTCCACCACGCTGGCAAAGATCTAACCTAATTCTAATCAGTGGTGGTTGACATTTTGTTTTGCAAACGAGTGCCTAAAGAAAGCTTATTGATGTTAAAATGTGTTACTTCTAGTTAGAAGTATTTTTTACCCATCATCAAACTCGGTACCCAATAGTATAATTTTTTTATACACCTAAATGGGTAAAAAAGTACGACTTGTTGTATCTCAGTAAAAATTTGAATAATAATAGTAAAAATTATTTTATTTATTAATAAATACAGTGTAGGGTTAATTTTCGACTAATATCAATTGATTTAAATGGAAAAATAAACGTGTGTGTATACTTATGTACGCACGTAAGAAGTTATACTTCTTTGGCGTAACAGAACAAATATAGCTAAAGATTTCATCCCGTATGTCACAAGTCTCTATTTGTAAAAGGAATGCAGCTAACTTCATAAGTCGCTTTCAGCTAAGTTCTACATGTCGCTTTTTGGCTGTCGGTGTGCGCACGCATCATATAAAATTTTACTGTCATAATTTTAGCCAAACATGCCAAAAGAAGTATAACTTCAAAATTTACCCGTCACTTTAAACTTTAAAATTTGTTACAGTTTTATGCATATCCCTTTTGATTTAATATCATTTGCTGTAACCCGTAACTAGGTCACGTTTTGTTAACTTCTACGCCGTTCAATTGTAGCCATAAAAATTGGTATTGGTATAGGGTGTTTTTTTTGCGTCATCTATATTGCTGTAGCTAGCAAAATTCTACGTAATTTAAATAGTATTTAGGAAGAGTTTTTTTTTCGGTTATCAATTTGTAATAGTTGATTCAAAAAATGACAATAAATTATCATAATATAGAGTAGCTAGAGAAATATTTTTTATATGTTTTAACTTTCAAGGCCTAGTACACACGTTATTTAGTTATTTACAGATAATAAATACTGTTATGTTTCTAAAGTTTATGAAATGCTTAAACAATTAATATATTTTCAATAGATTTTATGATTATTTTATTGATTACATTTTAATTATGGTGTCATGTCAAAAATTTCAATTAAATACCAAGTTTAATTAAAGCTTTTGACATGAAAGTAGATGTAGTTTTTTTGCGGTTGTTTACTTAAGTCTTTGTAAGATATTTCAAGGGTTTAAAAGGGCCAGTGTTTTTTTGAAATTATTTTGATTTAGGTATTAGTTGTTAGGTAAGTAAGCAAGGAAAAAGAGATAAAATTAAAAAAAAATGATCTCAAATTGGTTATTCCTCTCGCTCTGTAACAGTTGATCTCAATTCAAAAAAAAACTATTAATAAATCGGATTTATCTAACTTCAAAACAAGAATGTTATATGTTCACGCGATATTGATTTTGTGTCATTTTTTCATTGAAAACATAAGTGAATTCGATTGATGTTGTATTTTTATGTCATTATAATAATTTTATTTTTTTAAACAGCCTATATAATGTAATGTATTGCTCAAGTACGCACATTTGCTGTAAGTTAAGTATTTTTTTACACATTAATGCTTAAGTAGTTTAGTAAGTTTTTTTAGACGTAGATAATATCCAGCATTTCGCCGGCCAGTAAATAAAATTATATTTTTTTTATATAAATTTCCTATTTACACCTTCTTCATATTCACATTCACATGTACTATTAGTAATCTATCTTTCAATTATTTATCTGTATTTTTAACGTAGCTACTGTAGATTCTAGCAATTACTATCGATACTAAGGTAAGTAGTTGAAAGATAGGTTATTAACTTTATCCGAAGAACGAGTGAGTATATCGATCAAAACTCACAAAATACAGGCTGTACCAAATAATTAAATATATATATATATATATATATATATATATATATATAATTATTAGTGATTAATAGTAATTATTAGTTTCTATTATATTTATTATTTGTGATATTCCCAATTATTATTATGTTGTATATAAAATTGCATGTTTATATTTTTACGTATCGTGAGAACTTTTTCGGGTAAGATATTTTTTATTGGGGGCTGATATTTTTCATTATTTCCAAAAATGGGGTTGTAAAAAGTTAAAAGTTGCAGAAATAATTTTAAAATTAATGTTAGAAAAATTACTCTATTTTATTCCGCTTTTTCGAGAAAACCTAATAAATTTTGTTTATGATGGAATATTTATCGTCTTCGTTTTCACCTTCTCAGATAAAATACAACATCCCATAGCATATAAAAACATGTCCAAGTGCCGTTTACCGGTTATCTTATCTAAATTTTGAAATTTGTCGATTTTTCGCATCCTGTATTTAAAAAAGTTATAATAATACAAACCTGCCTTTTGTAGTTTTGATACTGTATCAAGCTCTTAGAATAAGTTTGACTTCTTATTTTTTTTTTAATTTAGTGATGCAGTTGCAAAAACGTATTTTTTTAAATATATTTTATATATATTTAAGTCAGCAGTTATTAAGAAATATTTTTGTATTACGCTCAATATGTGTTTGTATGTATGTATACATGTTATTTGTATAATAAATTAATGTCGGTTGGCGAGTTGAATATAAAAAAACTGTAGTTTTATATATATATTTGAACTCATTACTATATTTTCTAAATAGTTTAAAAGAAGTCACTATTGCTGTCCATGTGTTTATTGATTGATTGCTGTTATTTTAAGATTTTACTTTCATTCTAATCTATGTATATATAGAGGTTATTTATCAAATATTAAAGTGACTAAATAAAAAAAATTGATACTTAGTCTATTTATTATTCGTCAACAGTTTTTTTTTATATTGTATTTAATTTGAGATCAGAGAAGTGGATATTTTTTTCTAATGTCTCCTACATTACATCTCTTTTTTTATTTTAATGTATTTTTTCAAACTAACATCGCTTTGATAATTCTTACTATAATTCTTTTATGTTATTCAAAATATACATTTATGTATACATTTTTTTTTAAATCGGTTAACATTTTTTTATGTAAATGTTTTTGTTTTAGTTTGTTAATATTATTTTTTTTCTGATCAGATCACAATAAATATTTTATATGTAGTTTTGTTCAAACAAAAGTGTCGATTTGCCAATCGGTATTATTATTTTATTCTTTCAGTTACTTCAAAATGTATAAAAAAACATTTATTTAGATAAACGAAGTCACGTGAAACTATAATTCGTTGCCGTTTCTTCAAGGATACATTTTGATATAGCGAAGTTTAAAATTGGTGCTAATATTATTCGGTTAAAAGAAAAAAAAAGTTTGTGATTTATATAAACACTAGCAGTTTGTCCTGGCTTTGTCTGTTTTTTTTATTCCATAAGAAAAATATTATTTCCCATAAAAATATTGTTACCCCTTGCTACCCCTTTAGGGGTTGAATTTCATTTAACCCTTATCTATGTTTTTATAGTTAGGGGTCAGAATTTCAAATTTTTAGATCTAATGTTAGGTCTAGATTCTATACCTTATAGAATAAGCCAGGACAGGCTGCGTTATATATTATGTTAAAGATTGTTTTAGAGATTTTATTTATCATGAGTCCTAATATATTTATAAATAAAAGTACTTATTCTTTATTATAAAGTGTTTTATTTATTCTTACGTTTTTCTAGTA